ATTTAACACATGAGGTAGATGCACAGGTTAAGGAAATGGTCGAGAAGGATGTAATAGAACCTTCAAACAGTCCCTGGGCATCGCCAGTAGTTCTTGTACGCAAGAAAGACGGCACAATGCGCTTTTGTGTAAACTACCGTCAATTAAATGAGGTGACTACAAAAGACGCTTATCCTCTTCCAAAAATTGATGAGGCTTTCGACCACCTATCAGGACACGAGATGTTTTCTACGCTTGATCTGAACAGTGGTCACTGGCAGGTTAGTATGGAGGAGAGCGACAAGCCGAAGACTGCATTTGTGACACGACAAGGTTTATTCCAATTCAAGGTTATGCCCTTTGGTTTATGCTGTGCGCCTGCGACGTTTGAGAGACTTATGGAAACCGTTCTTGCAGGACTCCAATGGGATAAGTGTTTAGTATACCTTGATGACATTATTGTTGTAGGCAAATCATTTGATGATATGCTTGAAAACCTGCAACATGTTTTTCAGAGATTGCATCAGGCCGGCTTAAAGTTAAAGGCCAAGAAATGCAATTTATTTGCTAGCAAGGTATCCTATCTGGGACACATCATTTCCAAAGACGGAATTGCAACCGACCCAGAGAAAGTGAAAGCAGTAGCTGAGTGGCCAAGTCCAAGTACTGTGACTGAATTAAGATCTTTCCTAGGTCTTTGCAGTTATTACCGGCGCTTTATAAAGAATTTTGCATCAGTTCCCAAACCATTGCATCGAATCACAGAAAAGTGGAGTAAAGAAGCCCAAGAAGCATTCGAAGTGCTGCGCAACAAACTGATAACTGCGCCAGTATTAGCTCTACCAGATGTAACGAAGCCATTCATTCTGGATACCGACGCTAGCAACGAAGCGATCGGTGCGGTATTATCTCAAAATATTGATGGTAAAGAACGTGTTATAGCATATGCTAGCCGTACATTGTCCAAGTCAGAGAGGAAATATTGTGTGACCCGGAAAGAACTTTTGGCCGTTGTCCATTTTATTAAGCATTACCGCCACTACCTTTATGGTAAGCAGTTTCTTATTAGAACGGGCCATGGGTCATTGAGATGGCTTTTAAGATTCAAAAACCCAGAGGGTCAGTTGGCTAGGTGGTTGGAAGTGATCAGTACCTATGATATGAAAATAGAACACAGACCCGGTAAAAAGCATGGTAATGCGGACGCGCTGAGCAGAATACCTTGCACTCAGTGTGGCTTTGATGCGTCATCATTGGAAAATGCTGAGTATGATATGAAAGTTGAACCAGTTGTACGAACTTTACAGTCATCGGATATAAAAAGTGACGACATGGATTATAGTCTGCAAGAGGCTCAAGAGCAGTGTAGAGACATTAAGCTTGTAAAAACATGGGTCGAGAAAGGTGAGCGACCAGTTTTAGCGATATGTCTATGCATGGCTACGTAGTGAAGTCTTTGTGGAATCAATTTTCTAGACTTGCTATAGAAAATGGATTACTCATGCGCAAGTGGACTCTGCTTCGTCCCAACAAAGAAGTTCATCAAGCTATCATACCAGACCAAGAGCGCAGACGCGTCTTGGAAATGTGTCATGATAACCAGACGTCAGGACACTTGGGGGTTAACAAAACGATAGCTAAGATACGGCAGAGATATTACTGGCCTGGATTTCAAAAAGACGTCTACCAGTATGTTACAGGTTGTGACAAGTGTACGAGACGTAAAAATTCCAACCCTAAAAAAAGGGCCCCAATGCAGATTACCGGATCAGGTATGCCAATGGAAAGAATTGCCACAGATATACTGTGTGAGCTACCTGAGACTGATAGAGGAAACCGCCACATTTTAGTTGTGTCAGACTATTTCACCAAGTGGACAGAGGCATTCGCTCTGCCAAATATGGAAGCTGAGACGATTGGACGCACTATGGTGGAACAGGTATTTGTCAGATTTGGTATCCCCTTCACTATTCATTCGGACCAAGGTCGACAATATGAGAGCAAGCTCTTTCAAGAGATGTGTCGGTTACTTGGGATTAAAAAGACCCGTACAACACCCTATCACCCGAAGTCAGACGGGATGGTGGAGCGCTTTAACCGCACATTGCTCTCTATGTTAAGCACTTACGTTCAGGAAAATCAACGTGACTGGGATTTGCATCTTCCGTACATACTTATGACATATCGTTCTACAGAACATGACACCGCTAATTTCTCGCCAAACATGCTAATGTTGGGACGAGAAGCGACTACCCCATTAGAGTTGATGTATGAAATGCCTCCAGATATTAAGGATATTCCAACAAGTCAATGGGTGTGGGTGTTGCGTGAACGATTAGAGTCAGCTCATAAGTTCGTCAGAGAAAACATGCAAGGTGAAATGCAGCGCCAGAAAAGGTACCATGATACCAAACTAGCATGGTCATCCTTTAGTCCCGGAGAAAGAGTTTATGTATTTTTCCCTACCAGAAAGAGCGGTTGTTCTCCGAAGTTAACATCGTTTTGGAGAAGGCCTTTCTTAATTGAAGAAAAATTGTCAGATGTTTTATATAAGGTTGAATGCGGAACAAAATGCAAAAGCACTATCATCCACTGTGATCGCTTGCGGAAGTGTAAGTCACAGATACTTCAAAGAGAGGAAGATGAAGATCAGTATGATGTTAGGGAAAACCCAAGCAGTTGTGCTTCAGATAGGCCAAGGCGCATTAGAAATGCACCTGCGTGGCATGACGACTTCATTGTTGAATACAAATTATAAGCTCTCAGTACAACTATAGATTAGTGTAGACCATGAGGAAGAACTCTGGTTTTATTGGTTTAAACTGTAGCTATGGCACAATAACATTGTAAATTTAAGCAGAGAGCTTAGTATTTTTCAAATCTTTATGGGATATGCACATAGTCAGGAAGACTATTGCATGGTGTAAATAATAATGAACATATGTAAAATTGTACGCCTTTAGTTTTTCTTTATTGAGGAATGCGAGACGCATTTCCTGGAGGCGTGGGTAGTGAAGCAAATCTGTAATCGAGATCATATTATCCTTTCATTTCTCGGTAGTTGCACTGACTTCTGGTTTCTTTGTTCCCTTCGGTTCTCCGCAGGTCATGTGACGTGAAGTAGTATAAATAAGGAGACAGTCGGGTTGATTTAGTTAGTCTGTTGCTGACAGCCGAATTGGAAAGACGGTTGTATACAGAGAAGTCAAACGTGGTAGGTACTGCAAGGAATACCTTGAATCAAGTCTTGTATGTCTGAAATAGACTTTCGAGACTTTGATTCATTATATATTATTTAGATAAAGTACCTGATATTCTGGTTTGACTGAAGGTAAGAAGCGGACGCGCTTCAGTCCTTGGAAGGCGCGTGCGCTCCCGAGAAACGAAGGAATAATTGTACATACTATTAATTTAAATTTGTGATTGAGAAAATTGATTTATTCTTTAATTGTTCAAATAGAACAGTCGAATCCCATAAAAGAACCCGAAAACGTTACAGAATAATATTTTCAAAGATTTTATGCATTTTCACTATATAAATAATTTATAGAGCCCCATCCTTACAACAGAACCCATGGCCCTGGGGCCATAAAATTCACAATTTTGGAAGAGGCACTCTTGCTTATCTTAACTATGTATTTAGTTTATTAGTTAATACCCAAGAGCAGAGAAGATTTTCAAAGATTTAATGCATTTTCACTTTATAATCAATAGAGCCCAGCTTTAGCAACCCCTGACCCTGGGGTTATGAATTTCACAATTTTGGTAGAAAACTCAATGCTCAATACAATCACACCATCAGTTTGTCTGCTTAATGTAAAGGAGTAAAGAAGATTTTTTAAGATTTCATTAATAAAGTGGTATTGGCCCCACCCGTCAGGCCCCAGGGGGGCAGGGATCATAAAAATTACAATTTATGTTCCCCTTTACCCATATATGTGACTCAGGTGCCATAAAAAAACGATTTAAAAGTGACATTTAAAGTTCGCAAAAATTTGAAAAAGCATAAGGTCAATAAAACAAGAGGCCCATGCATCAAGTAACAACTATAAAAAAAAATAGAATTTGGTTTCTGTTATAAATCAGGGAACTAACTAGATAATAGGCTAGATAATTAATCTCAAGGGATTAATTGTACTTCTCTTTCATCATTTTCTTCTTAATTTATAATAAGAACTTTTTCAGTAATGATAGAATGAGGTTTTTATCCAACTGCCTTAAAAATTGATAATCTTCTTGAATTTTCAAGAAGAAAAAAAAATAAAATAAAAAATATATCTTCTTTAATCTATTTCTTCTTTTTAAAAGTCAATGAAATTAGAACTCATCGTGTTGGCTATTTAAACAAAAATAAAGTAAAAACATTTATAATTCAATCCACATTTCATAGTCTCCATAGCATTCCAAATGGACTTAACTTCAAAACAAACTTCATTTGCAGACAGAGGTGGTAATTAATCTCAATGTGACAGATAAAGATAATGCTTTGGATTTTCTTCAGGAGGAAAGCTAATAACCCAAGGGGCTCATTCATTGCAGTATTCAGTTTAAAACATTTTCAGAAGTTATCTCTCTTTCCCAATTCATTCTTATATAAAGTTAAGGAATCTACCCCACCACCCCAGCTCCAAACCAGAGGACATAGAGAAACAAACTTAGCATCAAAATATGTCTTTTTGCCTACTGAACTACCATACCAAATCTGAACTTAATTGGGCTACCATAAAAAAAGTTATTAGGTAAAAACAGAAAATTTGTGGACGGAAGAATGACAGACGGACAGACAGACAGAGTGATTACTATAGGGCACCCGCAAATCCTTGCGGGGCCCTAAAAATGCAGTTTATCCCCATCAGGAGCGAAGATTTCCAAAGATGACCTTAGTAGCCATATGATTTATCCTGAAGTTACAAATTCATGAAATTTTCAGTAATTTGTATGAGTGAAGCACTGTCATTCAGATATGTAAAACAAAAAAGAGCCATCGTTCTCTCTCCCTATCTTTATCCCTGTTTACGTACCTAATGTTCCCTCCAGATACCCCTCTAAAAAGAGTTTATACTTGTCTGCTTCAGTGGAAACAGAAAATCTGTCATACAACGCATACAATCTGCTGCCACTCACTAGTGTGATCGAAACGTAAAGAGACGAGTTCCTTCCCTTTGTTAACTGATGAATTACGTCATTTCCTGTTTCGATGTAAATATTGAAAAAAAGAGTATTTCAATGCAAATTGTTTTAAGTATCATGAGATATAATGAAGTTTTATTCTGAATTTGAGAAAAAAAAATCTCCAAATTACCTCCAGTATTCGTTCTGACAAAGAAACTACAGAAAATGAATTCATCACATACTGAGTAATTTTTTTATCAATATGTTCATGAAAAAAATCAATTTGCAAATATTGAATAGGAATTGAAAAAAAAATTACAACAATATTCAGGGATAAAAAAAAAATAAAATGACCAGAGCTGCCAACATTCTGAATTGACAAATTGTAAGGCGGGGTCTAGAGACCACCTAGGTCCCCCTGCCGCTGAAGACGTTTTGTAAATGAACATGTAATCTGAGGCATGTTTCCATTTTGTTTACTTTAAAACATTGACATGAATGTGATCGATCTTTAAAACCGAAACAAAGATACAAGCAAACGTTGTAAGAATTATGAATTTATTATAATAGTAAAAACTATAGACTGCCAGCTATGAAAATACCGGTATTATAAACTTTGAAGGCGAAAAATTGAAATCGGAAAAAGAGATAAATCGTAAGGCGTATTTTAGACCCTGATTTCGTACGCCTTAAGCCGAAATTTGAAGGGTTGGCAGCTCCGAAAATCATTGTTTATATCTTAAGTATTCGTTCTGACAAAGCAACTACTGTAAATAAATCTAATCTTCACAGATTTAAATAGATAAACCTTTTCAATAAAACTTAATCATTTTTTTTTCATATATATATATATATATATATATATATATATATATATATATATATATATATATATATATATACCTATCCAATGATTCCCTTCTGGTTCCCCAAATCCATGTTTATACTCAGACCATACACGGTCAAAGCTGACGACTCCATCTACTCGTTTTTGGATCACCTTTAACATATAAACAGGAGATTTGTGTGTTATTGCTAAGAAAAATTTGTATGAAAATTGTGCCAGGAAGAAAGAAACATCCGATTGTGTAGTATGAAGGCCGATATACACTGTAAATTGTATTATAATACAAAATCGTACTGTATATACAATCTTAATACAGTGTATCATACGATTTTTCGAACCTTGTAAAACTGTATTGTACGAATAGGGCAAAGCTATATTTCTTAAAGCGGCACAGTGAGTCAAATCATATGTTAATTTTAAGATATCTGTAGCATACAGAGAAAGACGTACGAAAATTATGAGTATATAGCGAAGATATGACAATTAAACTGCAATAATTGACTGCACAATATAAGTGCCGGAAAAACAAAGGTTGTATCTACCGTTTCGTTGTTTCGTATATGTCAAGGTCACGCTACTCTTATTTTTAGCTCAAACTTGTAAACAAAATTCAACTGGAGCATGCAAATATGTTCTAATAAATTAAAAAGATTACATCAAATTTTTGGTCTACTTATATTCATTCGTGGATACCTGAGACCCTGGTAACTATGGAAACTTATTCAACACTTTTCTGCGCACGCGTAGAATATGGTGGAAGAAGTACCGAGGTATTTTGCAATATTTTCGTTCTGGGGCAGACAGAAATTATTTTTACTTCTATTTTTCCCCATAAAAATTTAATTTTTAGGTTCTGAGACCTGTAATTTTCTGAAACATAATACTTTAAGGAATTGAACAAAATTTACAGAGGTCATGCGAAAATTCTACATTTGTCAATTTTCCCCTTTGTGCGTCACTGTGCCGCTTTAATACAAGTCTTTATCTTACCTTTCACTTTCAACCAATTAAATGTACTCCCATTAGGGCCATCCTCTTTATATCATTACTAAAAAAGCACGTGGTGAATTCATGTAATAATTATGAACTTCAGTGGCGGATCAAGGAGTTTCGTAAAAAAATGGGGGGGGGGGGGGGGGCTGTTCTGAAGCCCCCAGTGGGTCTAGGGCAAAGTCCTTTTGGAGGATCCGGGGGCGACAAGCTGACAAGTTAAAACAAATAAGAGTTTTTTTCTTGATTTTAGGATAATGAACACATAAATCTTACATACAGAAATTTCAAACCGGTTGGGAAGGGGGGACGCACGCCCGGTGCACAGGCCCTGGATCCGCCTTTGAACTTTATACATGTTTTTACTAGTAATTATAAAGACATTGAACAACTCGTGTTTTTATAAGGAAAGGGAAGATGACTTGTGGAATATGTCAAGCAGTATCTATGATAATGATAGACACTGCTATCAGGACCTCATCTTCCATTTTTTTAATTTGACAGAGAGAGAGATAAATGTGCCGGGGGAGCACAGGTAGGACCACGTAGTTTATCTACAAACTAATAAGATATGTTTGAGCATGTGTACAAGAAAGTATTACAATACAAAAGTAATACAATACTTGTATTTTACTTAAATATCTCATCGTGTATACTGGCCTTGCAGGCACGTAGCAACAGGGGCCTCCCTGACCCCCCCCCCCCCCCGGCCCACTTTTTTCTCAACATTAAAAACTTCTGTCAACTGTTAACTTCTCTAAAGAGAATAACTCTCCTGGTAGCTTCGAAAACGCGTTTCTGCAATTGCTTTGGACAAACAAAAACTGGTTAGGGTGCCATTGAGGAGTGAGAATCCTGGTTACATCAGCTGAGAGCTCTTTGTCATGATCGGGAAATACCGAAAAAAAAATCCGTCGACAGTGCAGTCTACAGTTTTTCATGAACATAAAACCATACACGGTAACCATGCCTGAAGAGCGCTCGCCGTGATTATGAGATTGTGAGTTCGAATCTCGACAGCGACTGACCTAAGTTGTTAGAAATGGGTCGCAACTGCTCCTTCGCCATGTAATCAGCACCTGAAGTGAAAGTTGAGGTCCTTCAGATGAGACCTTAAAAACCGAGGTCTCGTGGCGGAGTAGGCGTTTACGAGATCCCCCACGGCTCAATGGCCTTTGGTGCGGAGTAAAAGTCAACATTTGAAGCCCTTCGGCGGTATATTGTGATGTCTCTACATGAGTGAAAAATGCTGCAATGGAACGTTAAACAACATACAATCAATCATAGACATAGATACCGTCCATCCTCCGTGTAGTGTGCCCATATCACAGAACACTCGGACTGGACGTGAGCTTGTACTATAAGGGTAAACTTCGTACACGCCGGAGTTAGTGTTACCATTATCATATAGGCTTTTACAATCTGTAGCATCTGAAATGGATAGAAAATAAGAATGCTGTCATCAGTTGCATTATTAACATTATAGAGGATTTAATATTAACAAATCAACCATAGTGATAAATCTGAATTAAGAACGTGATGCTGTTTTCTGCTAAACACATCATGATTAATTTATTTGAAAACTCTCAAAATATATTGCGGTTTCCTATAGAACATTACAGACAAATTTAATTTTCTTAAGAGTATTTTTCTGCTCGTTAGACTACACAGCAAAATAACTGATGTATTTTATTTACAGACATAGAACGACAGGAGATGGCGTCTCATTATGTGAAAAAAAAAACTAGAACAAGAGGCCCACGGATCTTATAGGTCACCTGAGTATCATGTAACAACTTTCCAGCGATTGTATTTGGTTCGTGTTTCAATCCAAAAGCCATGAAATTCACAAATTTTGAAAGATGCACCGGTGCTTAACTGCTTATTAAAGGACAGATTTCAAAGCATTTATTTTTAGTCAAAGCACCCCCCTGGTACCCCTGACCCAGCAGCCCTGAAATTATCTATTTTAAAAGAGGCCCCTTTCTTCATTATAAGGCCAGCATTTTTTTTTATGTTTAGGTTTAGTTATGAACATGAGAATAAATAAGTCCCGAAGGAGAAGGAAATAAAATCTTTTTTCGATAAATCAATTATTAACATTTGTACATTCTTTTTTATGCTATCCTAATAGGCTCCTTACCACTGGACACATAATGCTTACAAATAGGAAAGTAGAACATTTAATTGCTTACTTCATCATCTGCCAGTTTGGGCCAGTTATATAAATTTTGTGATGTTGATCAAAATACACATGTATTTTAAAACATCAATTCTTTAAAAGTCTTTCAATATATCTTCATTTTCTAAATATGTGTTAGGTGAATGTGTAGATATTCTTCTAAAAATAACTTGATGCCTAAAATTAAAATTCCTATCATAAAACAGACAGGGTGTATTGCGAAGTAGGGTCAACATTTTTTCAATTAAGTGTAAAATAATTTTTCTGGCTGATACAAATGATACTACATGCCTGTATATATTTGTATATTCTTGCCTTTTAATAGTTGAATTTTTTTTTATTTCTTCAGGTTATTGTTTATTTCTTCCTCAAATGGACTTCATTTCTCCCATAGTTTTATTCATTACATCTGATGCATAAGCACCCTTTTTCTGAAGAATGATGCTTAGACTGTAAGCTATAACAGAGACCTAAACAATGTCCCTGGCAATATGCAATAACTACCACGGGCAGTTTAAAACCTGGAGGAGGAAAATAATTTACAGTTACTTTTGAAACGAATACATAATTATCTCACCAGCATGTCATTATGCAACAAAGTCGTCAGCATTTTATTTGTCCTTTGAACGGGTGAAACGTTTTGAATGGCACTCTTATCGATGAATTTTACACTTAACCAAGCTATCTTCTCAGATCTGGCTTATTTACCTGCCGTTTCATCGTAAAACCGGAAGTGCAAGTTCGTAAATTTGAAATCTCGATCCCGACTCAAATTTGACATCGGAAAGAAAAAAAATTGTTTTATTTTTTTCGGAAAATTCAAAACCTTGAGTGGAGGGTTTGTAAAACTGAAAATAAAATAAATCCTGGCCTTAAATATGTAATTAGATTATTAGCATATTAACCAGGAGCAAAGGATAAGATGTTCAAAGAATTCATGCATTTCACTATATAATCATTAGAGCCCCACCCTTAAACAAGAACCCCTGATCCTGGGGCCATAAAATTCACAATTTTGGTAGAGGCACTCTTGCTTATCATAACGGTGTACTTAGTTAGTTTATTTAATACCCAGGAGCAGAGAAGATTTGAAAAGAAATAATGCATTTTCACTACCTACTTATTTAGCCCCGCCCCAGCACTAGAACCCCTGACCCCAGGGCCTTGAATTTCACAAATTTGGTAGAAGACTTATTGCTGATTACAATCATGCAAACAGTTTGACTGCTTGATGTCCAGGAGTAAAGGAGAAGATTTTTAAAGATTGCATTAATTTTAGTGGTTTTGGCCCCACCCCTCAGGTCCCGGGGGGGGGGGGGGGGCAGGGATAATGAAATTCACAATTTTTGTTCCCCTTCACCTATTGATGCTTAGTGCCAAATTTGGTTGAAATTGGTTCAGTGGTTGCAGAGGAGAAGCTGAAAATGTTCAAATGTTAACGCACGACGAACGACGCACGACGACGGACGAAAACAGATAGCAACAATAGGTCACCTTAGTTTACTTAGGTGACCTAAAAACACCTTGACAAAGCAGGTCCGATTTCCACGTCCCGTTCTCAAGACACAGAATCCTCCCTGATCCTCGCTGTTGAAAGGAATCGAGGCATTTAAGGTGCATTTCTTTAAATATTCCTATACCGTCTCCATCTTGTACATCCCACGTAGTATTATTTTTTGTTGGGATCCCACAGTCTGAAAAAAAATAATCAAGATGAGAATTATAATGATTATTAATTTTAACCTTTCAGGCTAAAGGGTGATATAGTGTGTAATATGGGAAGTGAAATTTGCAATTCCATCTCTGAGTTTCCCGATTTTGCACAAATACGCAGCTACGCAACAAATTGATCGAACTGTTTATAATATTTAATTAAATAGAGTTTGTGGCATTCTGTAACTTTATTTTTTTCATTTGGTTACACTTCTATCTTTACAAAAAAAAACGTAACTCGTAGCTGTATAGTCCGAAAAATCTTACGTTTTCCTGGCTTTTTTACGATTTTGATATTTTACATGCCAGGAAAACGTCAGAACCGGCGCCATTACGAAAACTGGGAATTCGCCGCCTCCAACCGGAGGCGGCATTCTCACGTTGATTTTCGATACTTGCCAACCGAATTAAATGCTGAATTTACATTTTATCAATAGTACAATACCTTTAGTACTCACCAACATAGTTTTATGGTTCGTTTTTGAAATAACATATCCGATGAAAACATTTTTCTGACTGTCGATATTTGTTTTCATTTCGTGCATTTTAAAAACTTGCAAGTTCTGAATCGGAATGTGGAGTGGTAATTTCTTTTCATCGGTATTGGTGAGTTCTAGGAGCATTGTGCCATTGATAAATTGTAAGTTCTGCATTTAATTCGGTTCCCAAATATAGAAAATCAGATTTTTGAGGAGACGGTGAATTTCCCAGTTTTCGTAATGGCGCCGGTTCTGACGTTTTCCTGGCATGTAAAATATCAAAATCACAAAAAAGCCAGGAAAATGTCAGATTTTTCGGACTAGTTGCTGTATGTCTGTTCTAGCTGACTTTATGTGATATGATCATAGTTTCGTTTTTGTAAATTTGTTCTATTTTTTTTTGTTTCATGACCCCTCATGAAGTTTTCACACGTGTCAAAGGAGTGCTGCACATTTGTTCTTTGAGCCTTTTGTTTTGCTTAAATCCATTGCAACACAGGATCTTGGTTCATGCAGTGTCATCCCAAGAAGGGTATCAACGTACATTGTACCAATGTAGGATTTTAAATTGCGATGTTCAGTTGATAATAATTTTTGCTTCCCCAACATATTTGGTAGTAATACCTGAAGAAAATCATGCATATTGCGAATTCGCTATAATGGTTATACGAATTCGTTATACGGATATAACGAATTACGGATACAGCGAATTAAATTCACGGGTCCCCAGGTTTTACTGTAATTAGGTAAAGTAGGTAATTCAAACTTATGAAAAGAAAAACACCAGGCAGCTTATAACCAAACTTGCATTCATGGATGAGATTATGAGGAAGATTCAAAATTGTTCAAGGCATCCCCCTGGGGCAAAGGTCGTGGTCTTTAAGGTCACTTCTTAATTGACCAAAAATTACATCTCATCAAAACGTTGATATTTTGCTTATTATAAAGACAAGGACCATCAAATATTGTGAGTTTATGCATCTCAAGATTTCGAATCGTGTTATCAAATGTAGGTTACTGTGGCCTACTTTAAGAATATTGTGGGCATTTTTTTCAGATTGATTTGGAGGCATATTTAAGACACTTTAAGGTCCATGATCATCAAACTTAGTCAGTTCGTGTTATCAAATGTAGTCACTGACAAGCTTTTAGAATTTTGTGGGCAATTTTTTTCAAATTGATTTGGAGGCATATTTAAGACACTTAAAGGCCTTTGATCATCAAACTTTGTCAGTTGATGCATTTTGGGTCCTCGAACAACGCCAACTTAAAAGTAGGTAACATTGGCCCTTTTTTAAATTTTATGGCTCATCTTTTTTTTTAAACATTTAAGGCCATAATTTCAGAAACGGAGGTTTAAAATCCTTAAACCTTGTAAGTTGATGCGTTTCGGGGCTTAAAACATATTTACTGAAAAGTAGGCCACAATGACCTTCTTTTTATGCGCCCGAATCGATCGATATATTCAGGGCGTACATTGTTTTTGTCCTGTTTGTCTATTTATTTGTTTGTCTGTCTGATGTCAACTTGAACCATCGCCATAACTTTTGAACCGTGAGAGATAGAGACTTCGTGTTTGGTATGAATACTCCACTATATAAATAGTTTCAACTGGATCCAAGGTCAATAATCAAGTGACCTTGACTTTGACCAATATGCTTAAAATAGCCTTTTCGAACTATAGCTATTATTTTTTTTACCATAAGAGATAGAGACTTCATATTTGATATGCATACACCACAATTAAGTACTGGTCACGGTAGCCTAGTGGTAGAGTGTTCGCTTCGTAATCGGGAGGCCCACATTCGATTCTCGTTCGCGGCGCCGCGTCATACCTAAGACGTGAACATAGGTATTGACTGTTCCTTCGCCAAAGCGCTCGGCACTATAAGTGAAATGTACGGGTGTTTTCTTTTAAACGTACGTCTCGTGTTGCGGCAGGGGCTAGCACGATAGAGAACCTTGAAGTTCACTTCTCAATGGCCCTGAGTGCCGAACATAGGTCTGAATTTGAAGCCCTTCACCGGCATACAATGACGTCTTCATATGATTGAAAAATTCTCGAGAGGGGCGTTAAACAATATACAATCAATTAATTTTCTAATTAAGTTCTTTCATATGCCAACAAGGTCAATGACCTTGTGACCTTGACTGTAACCTATATGCAAAAATTTTTTGTCATAACTTCTGAACCACAGGAGATAGAGACTTCATATTTGGTATGCTTACTCCACTAGTTAAGTGCTTTCAAATGACACCAAGGTCGTGATCGTGTGACCTTGACTGTGACCTATAAGCTAAAGAAATATTTCTCACTTTCAATGAAAAAAAGTGGAGAACACAACATTAAAGAAGTGCTTAAAAGTTTTATGAAGTTTCTTCAGTTACAGTGGACATGGATATGATTTAAGCCTTACCAGACATGACACATTTGGATATCCTAGACTGTGAACGGATGCATTTCTCATTGATCGCACAGGCTGAAGCTAAACAAGACCCAATAAGACCCTAAAAATCAAAGCGAACAAAAAGATTTATTCTCAGTAAGATAAAAGATGAATACAATATGTGCAAGAAACCGTAAGACACTGAACATTAGACCTCTGAAACAAAGGTCAAGGTAAAAAAGAAAGACAATTGACAAAGAAAAGTGATTAATTTATGAATATATTTGAATCGCAAATATATAAGGCAAACGAAACATAATAATAAATTTGGAAGTAGTTATAATTATGGGTGATGTCAGGGAAGCTTAGTCCGTAGAGCGCCCCTTGTCAAGGTAGACGTTGGTACAATAAAGATCTCGTGTCCTTAGCTGCTCAATGGTCCTCAGTAGCGAAGGAAGTGTAAGAGCATTTTCGTTTGTAAAAAGTTCATGCGTCGTTTTCATATTTAAAAAATTCTACTTCTGGTAGGAGAAAAATCTTTACATTCCAAACGAACATGACTAACGGTTAACGAAAATTTGCATGATGCACTTGCTAATTGCAATTCAAGAGCAAGTACATTGTGTCATATGGAAAGAAAACTAGAGGTACTGTGAGCAATGAGCTCACTAAATGATACCCCCCGCCTCCCATATGATTATAATAGAAAAGTCAAGGTTTTGTTGTGGCCAGGAAACCCAAAATATGTGTCGGACCAAAAAGTAAAATGGGAGGTGCACAATGGCAATATAAGAGGAGTTGCGGATAAGAGATGGGTACCCTAAAGCGTAACAGACGGACGGACGGACGGAAATACCGATTACTATATACCCTCCCACTTTTCAAGCGGGGGGTATATTAAGTCTGCAAATAAAGTGGTACAATAAGTACTCATTGAGATCCCAACAGTGTTGGTAAACCTGGTATCGAAGAACACATCATCCATGTAGATATTGTCAATGTGAAACTCAAATATCAGAATTCCATCTTCTTCATTTTTGTACCCCCGCTCTGAAGGAGAGGGATGTATACTGTTTAACCCTTGTGTGTCTGTCTGTCCATAACAAATTTTCGTCACAGTTTTCTCAGTAGACATTTCCAGATTTTGTAATCTCGGGACCGTACTCGCACATGTACACTGACTCTGACAGTTGTAAAAATTTGATTTACTTCCAAACAACAGAAACACTGTTTCCTACATAAAGCAACGTAATATGTGGCATTTAAAGTCATATATGGCGTATTTTTTATAAGTTCAGACTAACTTAAATCAAAATGATCTTTCTCTTTGTTTTCTTACTTTAAATAAAGATAGGACTTTCCTTAAATAACACAATGAATTTATTTAAATCAATCGCGTTACATAGAAATCCGAGATTTTAAACAATAACCGATTTATTTCCGAAACAGTTCAAAGTCAATTTAACCTACATGAATGGAAATATGGGGATGGTATTTGGGTTCAAAATCGGTGATTTTATTTTGAATTTAGATAGCAAATATTATCTTAATCTTTATTAAATCTCGGGTTAATTACTTTTTAAGTACAGATACACCATACTTAGTATATAGCTTTATAACCATTTTAAAAACTTTTTATACGGCCCATTATATATCGAAGTATAAAGTACGAGTCCGAGCTCGTGTTGTACGAGTCCGAGCTCGTGTTGCCTATTGCTGGAAATGTCTATTACTACTCATCGCAGATGCTTGAAATTTTAACACAATCTTTTCTGAGGCTGCCATGCGGTGGGATATATTTTTGTTCAAATCTGATGTAAACTCCCTGCTTATCCGTCTGTCTGTCCATATCTTAAATAACTAATTTTCGTTGCAGTTTTCTCAGCAACTACTTTGCGATCGCAGATGCTTTAAATTGTAACACAATCTTCCCTTAGGCATGCTATATGCCCGTAATTGAACTTGTGTATATTAACATGATAGTATTTATTCAAATCAGAGCGGGGGTATTGCCAGTGAGCATTGGCTCATAGACTTCTTTTTTTTTGAAATCTGAAGTAGTTGAAACAACCTTTTCTTTTACATTAATTTAATTGAATAAAGTATTTTTTATGTATATATTTACCTTATCCCAGTTTTCTATGGCGGTGTATATCCAGCCCGAGCTTTGTCTGTTCATTCCTGATCCAGACGTGTTTCCTTCAAAGTTAATTTCACAATAGTTTGCTCCTTTATAATAATTCACTGATTTGCACCTCCTTGTTCTTAAACACTCTTTAACACAGTCCACTATACTATACTTCCTGTACGAGTCTATCATCTTCCCTTTTAATCTGTGTCCATATTCCAATGTAAAGAAACTGCCTTTAATATTTTCTTTACAATAAACTTGTACAATGATAATCAGAGTTGTGATAATGGCTTTGAAAATAATTTCCTTCTGCATGACCCCGCGTTCCTGCTTAAATAAACGTAAGTTATGGCAAGTGTTTTCTTGTATGTTTGATTTTATAGCTTTATTTTCAAATGAGTTTTCAAAGGTTTGCAATTAATATATGCCTAGCTTAGAATCGATAGTATCAAAAATTCATTATAAGGTTAAATAATAAGACATGCATGCAATGGAATAATTCAAGCATCAATTTATTGCCTTCTCGATACGCAGACTTTATTATAAAATGAATTAAATGACCTTTTAAAACATTCAGGGAATTTGTGTTTTGAGAAGATAAAGCTAAAATCTGATGGAAGATCTTCATAATATTCGAAGTGGAAAATAAAATTCTAATTTTAAACTGAGTAAATCGATGACCTAGCATGGTTTTAGATGACCCGTACCCCTCTAAGGTTCGAATAAATAGGGCTTGAATTAAAAAAAAAAAGATCAATAGAAAAACTATATACCTAAAAGAGTAATAGAAAAAAAAATTATAAATGTGAACTTAAAATTATTTTTCATCATTAGAATTCCGGTAAATTTGTAATATTCATTTTGTAAATATATGTAAACGGGGAGCCGCTACTTCAGGTATTATTGGTTTCTTTTCATGAAAAAAAAAACTAATTTTTTATAAGAATTACAGTTCTAGACATTCGAACAAAGCTTATAGGTACCTAAGCTGTTACTATGGAATCCGGATAGGGCCTTGCAGTTCACTATCGCATCAACGCACCATCGAGATTTGAGTCGATGGTGCAAAAACGATGAATCGATGGTGTGATAACGATTGCGCGATGACGATGATGCGATAGCGCGACGACGATGATTCGATGGTACCATGAAGCGATAATACGATGCTTGATAGCGATGATGCGTTGGTGCGATAGCGTTGATGCGATGCCCCGCCCCACAAGTGATTGCCAACTCCATTTTTCGGTGAAATTCCTCAGGGGTTTCTCCCCCTAGATATTTCTAATAAGAGATAGCAAGTATGTGCAACTAGCAAACGGGCAGAGTCTTCCACTAATTTAATTTCAAGCCTTTTTGCGAAATCCTAGCGGAGGGATTGTGTCAGCTCCAGTCCAAATTGCCAAGAACATGTTGAGATTAATTTCAGATGTACAGTGTATCTTCTAAAAGAAAAATAAGATAAGGGTATGAGTAAGAAATATTTGTCAAGTACTATAGAAGTTGCAAATTGTAAGTAAGAATCAATACTTTAGTATTCCACTTAAATCTAAAGGCTTGCTAAGAGCCCACAGTTCAGTCATGCCCCCCCCACCCCTTCCCGCTCCAGCAAATAAAAGGATCATCCATGGAAGCTGTATAATAAAACGAGGACAAATCATAAAAGTTGTGAAAAAATAAAATGATGAGGAGTTAGTTAACTTAATGTACTATCATTATGCAATAAAAATAAACCAAAAAATAAATCAGAATGAATTAAAATAACGATTGTTAAATATTACATGGCCCTATAAAAATGGTTATTATTCAAGATTTTAAGTACATGTAGTAGCTGAACACTGCACTTGGGCGATATTTAGTTGGTCATGTAACTTACTGAAACGGTACAATTGCATTATTTTTTATGCGCCCGAATTTTTTCGGGGCGCATATTGTTTTTGTCCTGTCTGTTTGTCTGTCTGTCTGTTGTCAACTTTAACCTTGGCCAAAACTTTTGAACTGTAAGAGATAGAGACTTCATATTTGGTATGCATACTCCTCTAATAAAGTTCTTTCAAATGACATCAAGGTCAATGACCTTGTGACCTTGAATATGACCTATATGCTAAAAATAGGGTTTTCAACTGTTTGTCATAACTTTTGAACCATAAGAGATAGAGACTTCATAATTAGTATGCATACTCCTCTAATAAAGTTCTTTCAAATGACATCAAGGTCAATGACCTTGTGACCTTGACTGTGACCTATATGCTAAAAATAGTTTTTTCAACTGTTTGTTATAACTTTTGAACCATAAGAGATAGAGACTTCATATTTGGTATGCATACTCCAATAAAAAGGTTCTTTCAAATGACATCAAGGTCAATGACCTTGTGACCTTGACTGTGACCTATATGCTAAAAATAGGTTATTCCACTGTTTGTCATAACCTTTGAACCATAAGAGATAGAGACTTCATATTTGGTATGCATACTCCACTAATAAAGTTCCTTCAAATGACATCAAGGTCAATTACCTTGTGACCTTGACTGTGACCTATATGCTAAAAATAGCTTTTTCCACTTTTTGCCATACCTTTTGAACCATAGGAGATAGGGACTTCATATTTAGTATGCCTACCCCACTAATTAAGTTCTTACAAACAACACCAAGGTCAATGACCTTGTGACCTATATACTAAAAATAGCTTTTTCGAACTTTGTTGACGCCGGGCGCATAGTGTTTCACAAACACATCTTGTTTTATTTCATTAAGATTATTTGATGATCAATGCTTTAAAGAATTCAAAATTAATTTACCTGTAAAGTTGTCAACAAACATATTGTATGCATGTTCAGTCAGACGTTCCCAATCCCACGGCTTAAACCGAGCTTTTTGACAAAAAAAACTTTTTATACAGGAAGCTTCCATGTGTGTTACCATTAGTAGTTAATTCGAGCAAAGATTTGATTGCCGAGTAATAATTAACTATATTTTAACAATCTTCTAACTAGTTATATGTCTGGGAAGAAAGACATGGTTAATTTTAATGCCAAGTGAAGTTTATTAACCCAGTAAGATATAATTCTGATAGATATTTTGTTCATACCTTCACCACTTGACGCCATTTCTCTTCTCAATGGCGCATGCGCAAAAGAGTCGATAGCGCAATTGTGCGATGACGATAGTGCGACAGAGCACTGATGATGACACGATAAAGCATCGCTTCATCGTCATCGCAGTATCGCGCCATCGCATCTTCGTTATCGCACCATCGACTCAAATATCGATGTTGCGATAGTAAACTGCGTGGCTCTATCCGGATTGCATATGTTACCAATATTTGATCGTACCAAAAATAATAGATTACATATATATATTTTTTTCTATTTAAACTCTAAGATTAAATCCGATTCTCATACGTACAAGTCAAATTAAATGTCATTCCTTTCGCATCGTGATCAACTGGCACGGTTTTGATTCTCGTTCGCGGTGCCGCGTGTGTTGGTAACAGCCGTAGAATTTACAGTATCACACGAAATGATGATATGTTCTAAATTATTAGCATTTCACTGATGCTATGCAAAGCTTTTAAGTTTGTATAGAAATGTGCTTGCATCTGGAATAGATAGAACAATCAATTCTTCGTTAGCAGCAGCATCGGAAATCTCTTAATCTTACTCTTTCTCCATCTCCAATTTTTGTTGTGCTGGAAGAATCCAGTCAATAATATTAGTGTTACAGGTGTTAATGTCCTGATTTAATTGAATCGACTCTCTAAAGTCACATCCAAAAAAAGTTCACTTGATAATTTTTGTACTGATATTTTCACATGTCAGGGCTTTGATGGCCGGCCAAAGTTTGGTTTGGAGCTGGTACATGGTTGTATCTAATTCGTTTGGATAGAATCTTAATTTCTTCGATTATGTACGTCGTACATGTGATATTTTCTGGTTATCATTTTTCTCAACTGAGCAATGCAGACATGTTCACTTCTTACCTAAAACTGCTAATAAACCCTCAAGTCATACGCTGGGGTTTTTAGTCTTCAAAAAGTCTCTCAGTCCAACGTCTACTTTTTTCCTCTTTTTCTCATTCTCATGAATGATAAACCGACTTTTTCCGACCACTTGGATAGTAAATGCTGATCGAACTTAAGTTAAATTTGCATATATATGTATGTCAAAAAATATTCCCTGAACATTTTTATTAACTCTTGCTATTTCATTGGTTTATTCTTGATGTCAAACAATTTTAATTTCCTTTCGTCAGTATGTAATATTTTTCTCTCCATCTCAAATAGTCTGTTTTGCTTCCACTTCATACAGTGATGTAATAGGTTAAAGTCTTTGAAGATATACATAAATCACAGTCGAGTTAATTTACAAATCCAAGAACATAGTTTGTAATTGAAAGAAAATGCAACAATCAAAGCACTTAAAGCTATTGAGAATCTTGTGTACTCGAATAAATTGAAAATCATTTTTCATTTAAAGGAAAATCGCAAAATGTGGAATCAAAATTCTCAACTTCCTTGTTATTCTGCACTCTTATCCATGTGTGATTATAAAAGATTATCAAATAATCTCAAAGAAGTGAATTCAGTTAAATATAATTCAAATACACGATATCTAGAAATTTTTTTTTGTAGATCGGAGACGTGTCCTCCACCGGCATTTCCCGGGAGTCGGGAGGAAGGTCAAGCTCGGTATTGATGACCGATCTGCCCTTCTGACCCTTTGGGAAAGAAAAGCAGAGGAGCCGTCCATATAGGCTCGACTCCTTTTTTGAAAAACATACTGTAAAAGCAGCGAAAGAGTTTATCGGACAAAATTTCGCATACCTCTATGCAAAACACCGTTTTCAAGGTTGTTAATTATTATATCATAATGAGAAAATGTTGAACTGCTTTAATTCCTTTGCGTGGACAAGTTATCTAGTGTGAAAAATAAACCTCACTGTCTTCTGAAATTTTCACTATTATTTAGTACATATTTTAGTAATATACACAACAAATTTCAGATAAATATATGCCTAAATAAACAAATTGTGAGATGTTATGCCATGTATTGTATCATCTTACGGCGCATGGATTTTAACGTCAAAGTGTCTAAAACAGCGTCATGTTTTAAATATCTTTGCTGATAATGGAGTTGGATGAGTCCGACTTCAATTTAGGAATTTCATTGATACACATTCTTTAGTCTCCATAG